TCTACTATCATATTATTGTACAAGAAGGGTGATCGATTAAATATCAACAACTATAGACCTATATCCCTATTGCATACAATTTATAAAGTTTTCACAAGTACATTACTTAACAGAATCAAACCCAAATTAGACTACATGCAACCGACAGAACAAGCTGGTTTTCGTCTCAAATTCTCTACAGGGATGGAACCAGCAAAAAAAGAACATCTTTGTTTTGACTCATATAATGAAAGATTAAAAAAAAACGGTATAAACCCAAACCCAAATGGAGAGACCAGGGCAGCCATTTAAAATCGAGAGAGGGGTGAGACAGAGGGACCCAATCTCACCTAATCTATTTACTTGTTTATTAGAGTACATTTTCTCAAAACTTGACTGGGGCAACGAGGCATTAATATTAACGGAGAAATTTTGAGTCATCTACGTTTTGCAGACGACATTATCATATTAAGCGAAAACCACGAAGACCTTATATATATGGTTCAGTCTTTAGACATAGAAAGCAGAAAATGTGGCCTACAAATGAATCCAGATAAAACTTGTACATTGACAAATAGCACAAAAATGCCCGTACACGTTCAAAACCAACAAATTAGATATGTTAATGAATACATTTATCTTGGCAAAAATATTTCATTTCACAACTTAACAATGACGGAAGTTAATAGAAGAATTAAATTAGCATGGAGCAAATATTGGTCACTAAAACATATTCTCAAGGCAAAAATACCAATTAAATTAAAAAAAGAAAGCGTTGGATACTACTGTACTCCCCACTTTATTATATGGATGTCAAAACTGGGCTCTCACAAGGAAAATAATATCTAAGCTACAAGTTTTCCAACGAGCAACGGAACGCAGCATGCTTAACGTTAAACTAAGACATCGCAATAGAAACAGTGATATACGAAAAATAACAAATATCATAGACGTAGCCAAATTAGCGTGTCAACTGAAGTGGAGATGGGCAGGACACGTGGCACGAGTCAGTGATGGGAGATGGACTGAACGGGTGCTACATTGGTACCCGCGTGATGCGACGCGCTCGCGCGGCCAACCGCGGGCACGCTGGTGCGATGATATTGTAGAGGTGGCAGGAGCAACGTAGACGAGGCTAGCGGCAGACAGAACTTCATGGAAAAGGATGGAGGAGGCCTTCACCCGGAAATGGGTATCCCAAAATTAATTAAAATAAATATAATAAATTATGACTCTATTTTATGTGTATAGCCAAATTCAGTAGATTATTATTAACTTCAATTTTATTATTTTAACTATATATTTTGTGACAAAAATCAAAATAAGTTGACAATTACTAGAAAATATAAACTGATTATTTACCCTAACATTATTTATAAATAATCAAAAATTAATTTTGTAAATTTAATTTAAACTTTTTATTTAAAAGTGAAACTGGCATTATCATTTCATTTAATAAAAAAATGCATGACTCATAATAATATTGTATTTGGTTATAACTAATATCGACTGTTGTATGAAAATTGGGAATTAAATGGCTATTATTATTATTATGTGGGGTATCTATATAGTTTTCTCATCTGGTTGGGATGTATAAATATATAATAATAAACGAAAATGAAAAGATAAATAGATACATAAATATCAATAAAATAAAATAAATAAATAAATACATAAATAAATAAAAGCCCAACCAGATGGAAGCCCTCGGCAGGGGAGACCAAACGGCCAAGGGTTAGGGGAAAGGGAAAGAAACCGGCGGAAGATGCGGGCAGTATCAAGGAGCACCGCCTTCTGCATTTGAGCCCGGAGCGGTCCGTCACGGAGTCCCAGTCGCCTCAGATGACCAGAGAGGCTAACTGGGATTAGCACATTCGCAGAGACGACTACAGGAATAATTTCGGCCGGCAGGCCACCCCACATGTCGGTCACCTCGTGAGCCAGTTCCAGATATTTTGTTCGCTTTCACGAGGTTCTCGTCATACGGGATGGTAATATCGACCAAAAATATCCTTGACTGTGTCCGGTCCATCAGCACAATATCAGGCTTATTCGCAAGAATAGTCCTGTCTGTGATGATAGCCCGGTCCCAGTAGAGCCCGGCGCGGTCTTTTTCGAGCACGGCATTACTTGTAATACGGCTATTTCCGCTTCACGAGACCGTATTTCAGAGCGAGCTCCTTGTGTAGAATTCTGGCTACTTGGTTGTGCCTGTGCAAGTACTCAGAGTTAGAAAACGCCGAACAACCGGAGATGACATGCCTGAGTGACTCCCCGGGATGGCGACAAGCTCGACAGACGTCGACGGTGCCATCATTTAGGATGTATCTCCGATAGTTGTTGGTCTTAATAACCTGATCCTGTATTGCACAGACAGAACCCTCGGTTTCCCCGAAGAGATCACCGAAACGTAGCCAGTTGAGGGAGGCGACTGTATCTACGAAGGGCTCATGTAGAGCCTTGTAGTACCTCCCGTGGAGCTCCTTCTCCTTCCATACGGTCTCCTGGTCGGAAATGCTAAGCACTGCTGGGTCCTGCCATTGCTCGTTGGCTAAGGATAAAGGGGTAAGCCCTTTATCACTAGAAATGACGTCATTATAGAATGGATCATCCGATCTCGCCAAGAAGTATTGACGGAGACTGCACACTTCGCGATTATCATGGTGAGCGCGCTCAGAAAGCAACGCCCACCATACTTTCGCGGCAAGTACAGCCTCATTACCGACGATCTCGGATGATGCATCCTATGGGACGTCATGGTAGTGCGGACTTTTCTATCCAGGGCGTTAAGCTCAGTCTGAGTGCACCTGAGTATGCCAAAGGTATACATGAGGACAGGCATGACCCAGCAGTTATATGCGTGTGACTTATTCACAACGGACAAAAGGCTGTTTAGCACTTTGGTCAAGCGTGCATAAAACACGTCGCAAACTGACTGTTTCATACCGGCCTCATCGATACCGATGTTCTGTGACATACCCAGGTATCGGTATGTTTCAGCCTCGGAAAGGGTCCTTAAGTTGACGGGCATAGACAAGTCTATGCCCTCAGAGTTGGCAACCCTTCCCCTTTCAACATGGAGGACCACACACTTATCCGTCCCCAGCTCCATTCCAATGGAATTGCTAAATTCACAAGTGATATTTAGCAGTTCCATAAGATGGGAGCGACTGGAGGCGAATAACTTGAGGTCATCCATATAAAAAAGGTGGGTCACTTTTGTCACTCCTTTCCTTAGCTTAAATCCCCTCCCGGAGCCCTCCAGTAAGGTACTGAGAGGGTTCAGAGAGAGGCAGAACCAGATTGGTCTCAGACAATCGCCCTGGAAGATACCCCTTTTTATCCTTTTGTGGTTCTCCGCAGCCATCATCCGCTCGCCCAGATGACAAAGGATCGTAATCCACTGCCCCATACACTGCTCGAGAAAGTCTCTAACTGTACAGTCAATCTTGTAAAGCTCGAGGACCCTCTTTAGCCATGTATGGGGCACCGAGTCGAACGCCTTTCTGTAGTCTATCGAGGCGGCAGAGAAGTTCCGACGGTTGTGTTTCACCACTTTGCCTACGACCGCGTCATTACTGGCTGCATCATTACTGGCTAAAGAGGTTCATAGTGTGTCACGCTGTGCTCGCCCGACAGTTCCAAGAGGCTCTCGACCAGAAGTCGCTCCCGAGCCTCTTCACTACTGGGATCACTCACTTGGTTCCTAAAGATCAGGATACCACAGACCCGATTAAACACCGCCCCAACACGTGTCAACCCACCATATATAAGACACTGACATCCATTTTGAGCGCGTGACATCACCTGGTTTAGCTCCAGGTGACGAGTGATTCTCGCGCTCAAAATGGATGTCAGTGTCTTATATATGGTGGGTTGACACGCGTTGGGGCGGTATTTGCTCGGGTCTGTGGTATCCTGATCTTTAGGAACCAAGTGAGTGATCCCAGTAGTGAAGAGGCTCGGGAGCGACTTCTGGTCGAGAGCCTCTTGGAACTGTCGGGCGAGCACAGCGTGACACACTATGAACCTCTTCAGCCAGTAATGATGCAGCCCGTCGAGCCCCGGAATTTTCCAATTCGGGGCCCTACGGACCGCCTCAGCCACGTCTTCCGGCGTTGTGGTGATGGGGTCCATAGCGTAGGGTGCGTAACACTCGCACCCTGGCTCGCCACAACTTCCATCCAAGGGCCCTCGCTGTGGTTTACGGGATCTGACCATAGGCCACGCCAGAATGCGATAATGTCAGCCTGATCTGGTCCTTGGCCCGCTCCACATAGCTTTGGTCGCTCCAATAATTTATAGAGCCTCTTCTGATCACTCTGGAACAGACAATTCTGGTTGAACTTCCTTGACCTCTCGGTAAATCGTCGAATCCGCTTCCCCCAAGCATCGATCTTTTGCTTCAGGTCATCTATGCGCTCCGTTAGTTTCTGCGTGATATCCGGCTGGGACAAACTGATATTTGTCCCAGCAAACGCTATCCTAACGGTGCGCGCAATCCTCGGTCTATTATTACCCGACCTGAAGCTTGTCAGTCTGACTATAAGGGCTCTTGCCTTTACGATACGGTCTTCGATGCTTTTTCTCCAGGCTGGGATGGCGCTACTTTGTGTAGTAGCGCGTCCACCCATCGGAAGTTTGGCGCCAATAATACGGCAAACTGCCACTGCGGCGCCAAAGAGAATTGAGTTCGTCTCGCAAAGCTCCCGGCTGGCTTCCAAATAGGTCACCAGTATTGGGTTAAGAGCTCTCACGACAGCTCGATTTCGCTTACTTAGGGGTATGCGAGGAAGTCGCGGTCGATTTTCGAGAGGGGTGCTGCGCGTTTCCAAAATCGCCTCTTCCAATATACTCCTCATTTGCTCTAGTTCGTGGGAGACTATTTCATCGTCGTTCGAATCAACCACAACTGGAGGATCCATGGCGGCTTCCACGTGTGGATGCTGGTCTGTCGGATGTGGAGCTGCATCTCCTGCCATAGCTGATTCATTCGACGATGGAATAGCCTCACGTCGTAGTCATTGGAGATCATCAAATATTTTCGAGCGCATGATGTACCAAACTCGGTCTGCCAGGTTTTGTTCCGTGACGGCGATAGAAGGCTTCAGCTCAGCAAAAAAGCTATCCATCCGAGACCTATACGCTATTCCCACAGTTTCTTCCCCTTTCGCCCTATAACGACGCAATGCGTTTTCGTTCATAGGTTTTGTCCAACGCATGCGACGTGCTCCACCAGCGGCGGGTGCCGCTTGCTGAGTCCGAGAAGACCTAGCCGACACCAAGCCTTCTGGTGGGGATGATGGATGCGAGGGGCTGCTAGGTGATCGTGCAGCTCCTCGCGCTCGGTTGGCGGCCCGCATGCTGCCGCGTCCAGCGCTAGCTCCAGACGCGCCCCGGCGACCCACAGGCAGCGGCCCTATACGCATTCCTTTCTGTGCCATCATCCATTTTATGGGCGCCAAATAACGGGAGACGCCCAAGCCCGGCACCATTTCGTGGTTGGGTCATATGCACAAAAGGACCTTTGCACCCACAATTTTGCCTAGGCACAGCGCTCACACCTCTTGGCAGGATGCTGACTGACTGCGCCGACGTAGCAGTTTTGTCACATAACTGTTACGTCAGCGGGCGATGGGGTCGTCACTTCCCTACGCCATTATTGTTTTTATTATTATTTTTTATTAATTCGGCATCGGCTGATCGCAAGGTGCCGCTCTTTTGTTTAAATTGTGAGGTGGCGACGTACTATCGCTGTCGTATCCAAAATTACGGCTTTTTGAATTTTGTTCCTCACCCTCACTGAAATGCCCAGCTTAGTTAAATTGTCATTAAGGGATTTAGGAACAACTTAGGAGAATCAGCTGGACAATAAGTACCTGCTGCTGCCGCCTTAACTGTCGGATTTCTTCAGCTAACCGCTGGTACTTAATCAACTTTTCAGTGCTGTACTTCTGCATATTATGCGAGTTTGGAATGCCAATATCAACCAACCACGTCCGCTTCTCCTCCTTTTCTACTAATATTATGTCTGGTCGATTATGCGCAATGGTCCGGTCAGTTAAAACTGACCTGTCCCAATAAAGTTGGGCAGAATCATTCTCGAGTACCGGGGATGGATTGTATTTCCAGTAGGGTTCTGTCTCCTTAAGGAGACCGTATTTTAGTGCCAGCTCTTGGTGCACAATTTTTGCCACGTTGTCGTGGCGCTGCGTGTACTCGGTTCCGGCAAGAGCCTGGCAGCCGCCAGTTATGTGCTGGATGGTCTCTAGCTTTTGATGACACCGTCGGCACTGGTCATTTTCGATACCTGTCTTGACAATGTACTAAAGATAATTTTTCGTAGGCATTACCTGATCCTGAATCGCCACCATGAATCGCTCAGTTTCAGCAAAGATCTCACCATGTCTGATCCAGTTGTTCGACGCTTCAATGTCAACATGTGGTTGACTCAGTTCATTAGCAAATCGACCGTGAAGAGGTTTTGAGACCCATTGCTGGAGTTTGGCTTCTTTGTATTCAGCGTCAGTCTCTAATGGCGGGAAATTGTCGGAATGAAGGAGATCGAGCGTTGTTAGACGGTCATCAGCCTTCATTACTGCTTGATGCAGGGGAGAGGACGTTTGCGAAAGAAAATAACTTCGAAGACTCTGAATCTGTTTAGCACACAATCTACGAAGATCTATCAGTCCTCTACCGCCATTGGCTCGAAATAGAGTAACTCGCTGAACTGCTGATTTTGGGTGATGTATACGATATTTAGTGAGCATGACGCGAGTAGACCTCTCAATTTTTGCCAGTTCAGTATCTGACCAGTTAACTATTCCAAACGTGTAGGTAAATACTGGGACGGCAAAGGTGTTAATTGCTTTAGTGAGCTTGCGTCCATTTACGCCTGAACTGAGGATTCTTTTAAGCCTTTGATTGTATACTACAATCATCTTCGACCTAATTTCACCGTGATTGATTCGAAGTGATTGGATGATGCCTAGATATTTTTAGGTGTCATTTTCTGTCATCGCGTCAATCTTTACACCACTCTGAAGGTCGAAATCTCTAGATGACTCAATTCGTCTACGGTAAATATTTACGGTTCTGCACTTTTCAAGTCCAAATGACATATTAATGTCACTAGAGAACTGTTCAATGCAGTGAAGCAGCGATTGGAGCTCTCGTTGATTTGCCGCATAGATCTTAATATCGTCCATATAAATTAGGTGAGTCAACTTTCGGTGATATCCTTGAGCCCCTTTTATAGGATATCCATGCCCTGTTTCATTAACGAGTGAAGAGAGGGGGTTCAGTGCGAGGCAGAACCATAAGGAGCTAAGGCTGTCTCCTTGAAAGATTCCTCTTCGTATCGGTATGTACCCTGTTGTGATCTTCTCGTTAACGCCATGGTTCAGATGAAGAGAAGTTGCCCAATTTGTCGTAAAATATTCTAATAGAGTGATAACTTCATGGTCGATCTTATAAAGTTTGAGTACCTCCCTCAACCAGGAATGCGGCACGGAGTCGAAAGCTTTCCTGTAATCAATGTAGGCCATGTGGTTATTTTTATTATTATTGTGGGGTATCTATATAGTTTTCTCATCTGGTTGGGTTCTATAAATATATAATTATAAATGAAAATGAAAAGATAAATATACATAAATATCAATAAAATGAAATAAATACAAAAATACATAAATAAATAAAAGCCCAACCAGATGGAAGCCCTCGGCAGGGGAGACCAAACGGCCGAAGGTTAGGAGGAAAGGGAAAGAAACCGGCGGACGATGCGGACGGTATCGAGGAGCACCGCTTTTTGCATTTGAGCCCGGAGCGGTCCGTCACGGAGTCCCAGTCGCCTCAGATGACCCGAGAGGCTGACTGGGATTAGCCCATTCGTAGAGACGACTACAGGAATAATTTCGGCCGGCAGACCACCCCACATATCGGTCACCTCGTGAGCCAGGTCCAGATATTTTGTTCGCTTTCACGAGGTTCTCGTCGTACGGAATGGTAATGTCGACCAAAAATATCCTTGATTGTGCCCGGTCCATCCGCACAATATCGGGCTTATTCGCAAGAATAGTCCTGTCTGTGATGATAGCCCTGTCCCAGTAGAGCCTAGCGCGGTCATTTTCGAGCACGGCTTCCGGTAAGTACTTGTAATACGGCAATTTCCGATCCACGAGACCGTATTTCAGAGCGAGCTCCTGGTGTAGAATTCTGGCTACTAGGTTGTGCCTGTGCAAGTACTCAGAGTTAGAAAGCGCCGAACAACCGGAGATGACATGCCTAAGTGACTCACCGGGATGGCGACAAGCTCGACAGATGTCGATTTCGCCATCCTTTAGGATGTATCTCTGATAGTTGTTGGTCTTAATAACCTGATCCTGTATTGCACAGACAAAACCCTCGGTTTCCCCAAAAAGGTCACCGAAACGTAGACAGTTGAGGGAGGCGACTGTATCTACGAAAGGCTCATGTAGAACCCTGTAGTATCTCCCGTGGAGCTCCTTCTCCTTCCATACGGTCTCCCGGTCGGAAATGCTCTGTACTGCCGGGTCTTGCCATTGCTCGTTGGCTAAGGATAGAGGGGTAAGTCCTTTATCACTAGAAATGACGTCATTATAGAATGGATCATCCGATCTCACCAGCAAGTAATTACGGAGGCTGCATACTTCGCGATTATGCATGGTGAGCGCGCTCAGGAAGCCACGCCCACCATGCTTTCGTGGCAAGTACAGCCTCATTACCGACGATCTCGGATGATGCATCCTATGGGACGTCATGGTAGTGCGGACTTTTCTATCCAGGGCGTTAAGTTCGGTCTGAGTCCACCTGAGTATGCCAAAGGTATACATGAGGACAGGCATGACCCAGCCGTTATATGCGTGTGCTTTATTCACACTGGACAAAAGGCTGTTAATCACTTTGGTCAAGCGTGCATAAAACGTGTCGCAAACTGACTGTTTCATACCAGCCTCATCGATACCGATGTTCTGTGACATACCCAGGTATCGGTATGTTTCAGCCTCGGAAAGAGTCCTTAAGTTGATGGGCATAGATAAGTCTATGCCCTCAGAGTTATCAACCCTACCCCTCTCAACATGGAGGACCGCACACTTATCCGTCCCCAGCTCTATTCCAATAGAATTGCTAAATTCACAAGTGATGTTTAGCAATTCCATAAGATGGGAGCGACTGGAGGCGAATAATTTGAGGTCATCCATATAGAAAAGGTGGGTAACTTTTGTACCTCCTTTCCGAAGCTGAAATCCCCTCCCGGAACCCTCCATTATTATTATTATTTTTGGGGTATCTGTATAGTTTTCTCATCTGGTTGGTTTCTATAAATATATAATTATAAATTAAAATGAAAAGATAAATATACATAAATATCAATAAAATAAAATAAATACAAAAAAAATACACAAATAAATAAAGATCCAACCAGATGGAAGCCCTCGGCAGGGGGAGACCAAACGGCCGAGAGTGATGATGGCCCGGTCCCAATAGAGCCTGGCGCGATCATTTTCGAGCACGGCTTCCGGCAAGTACTTGTAATACGGCAATTTCCGATCTACGAGACCGTATTTCAGAGCGAGCTCCTGGTGTAGAATTCTGGCTACTAGGTTGTGCCTGTGCAAGTACTCAGAGTTAGAAAGCGCCGAACAACCGGAGATAACATGCCTAAGTGACTCACCAGGATGGCGACAAGCTCGACTATTATTATTATTATTATTATTGTTCTAGGCTATATTTTATGTCAAAAATTTTTTTTGCGAAATCAAACACTAATGAATAAATGCTTTTGATGACTTTAAATCTAAATCATCATCATCATCATCATCATTACAGCCCTTCACAATTCCACTGCTGAACATAGGCCTCCCTCAAGGTATGCCAAAAAGCACGGTCCTGAGTCACCTGCATCCATCGACTTCCTGCATAAAAACAATGTAAATAACACCACATTATTAAATTTTACTCAGACGAAGCCGAGGTGGGTTGTTAATATAAGGATAAGAGTCACAAAACGAGCATACAGTTCACCTTATTGTAAGTGGCTGCTGTGGTCTATAGATATTTCTATTCCCAATTAAGAATCAAAATGCAGATGCGTCATCATTCCTGAGGACAAAGATAGAATGCCTCGTTTCCAGTAAAAACAGTCTCCGGTTTTTCACACTTACCATACGAAATACAGCAGCATTAAACTGTTTTACGCAAGTATTCCGTGAGAGCGTGTGCCGTTCCCGGTCAAGCCAAGCCATTTTTCCGTGCTACACATATAATGTAGCTGTAACATGGCTCTACAAAGTAAAATGTGTATGTGCTATCTATATTTAACTACATGTAAACCTGCTAACCAACGAACGACGATTTGGAGCTTATCTATCTATCCACCCATTACAGCATATACAGGGTTGTTTTTCAAAGAGTAGCCAAATTT